ACTATGAAAAATTGTATACCAATCAATCAGTTGCTAATTTAGATGAAACGGGCAAATTCCTAGAAAGCCACAAACTACTGAAACTGACTCCAGAAGAAAAAGACAAAGTGACTGGACCTATAGCAAGTAAAGATAATTAACTAGTAATCAAGAAACTACCACAAAGAAAAACCCATGCCCAGGTGGCATCACTGGTGAATTATATCAAACATTTAAAGAAGAATTAATACCAATTTTTTACAAACTCTTTCAAAAAATTGAAGAGGAGAAAATACTTCACAACTCATTCTATGAGTTCAGTATTACCCGATACCAAAACCAGACAAACATATCACAAGAAAAGAAAACTACAGACCAATACCTCTTATGAATATGGAAGCGGAAATCCTCAACAAAATACTAGCAAACTGAATCCAGCAATGTATAAAAAGCATGATACACCATGACCAAGTGAGATTTATCCCAGGAATGCAAAGTTGGCTTAACATCTGAAAATAAATTAAGGTAATACATCCTGTCAGTAGAATAAAAACAAAAACCGCATGATCACTTAGCAGACACAGAAGAAAGCATTTGACAAAATTCTACACCCTTTCATGATGAAAACACTCAAGAAACTAGGGCTAGAAGGGAACTTTCTCAACCTGACAAAGGGCATCTAAGAAAAAATCCACAGCTCACATTATATGTAATGGCAAAAGACTGGGTGCTTTCCCATTAAGATCAAGAACAAGACAAGGATGTCCACTCTTGCCACTTCTATTCAGTGTTATACTAGAGGTTGTAACCAGGGTAATTAGGAAAAAAAAAAAAGTAAGAAAAGAAATAAAGGCATCCAGATCAGAAAGGAAGAAGTAAAACTATTTGCAGATGACAAGATTATGTATATAGAAAATCCTAAGAAATCTACTAAAAAAAGCATTAGAACTAATAGACAAGCAAGGTTGCAGGATACAACATCAATACACAAGTACCAATTGTATTTCTTTCTTTTAATTTTATTTTGTTATTTTTGAGAATATACACAGTAAAACACCAATGCAGTAATTTCTACATATACAGTTCAGTGACATTACATTCTTTGAGTTGTGCAACCATTCTCATCCTCCTTTTCTGAGTTGTTCCTCCCCACTTAACATAAACTCATTGTCCCCTAAGTTTCCTATCTTATCTTTCAAGTTGCTGTTGTCAGTTTGATCCCATATCCATAGTTCTTAAAAGAGCATAATGCTCAGGGCAGACATTTTTTTACTAGTTCAGCTAAACTACTGTTTGGTTTTAAGATGACTTCAGGGGATATTTTTGGTTTAAAGTTTAAAGATTATCTCAGGGCAATAGTTTTGTGGGGTTCATCCAGCCTCCCTGGCTCCAGAAAGTCTGCAGTCCATGAGAATTTGAAATTTTGTTCTGTATTTTCCCCTCTTTGATCAGGATTCTTCTGTAGAATCTTTGATCAAAATGTTCAGTAATGGCAGCCAGGCACCATCAATTGTATTTGTATACACTTGCAGTGAACAATCTGAAGATGAACTTAACGAAGCAATTCCATTTATAATAGCATCAAAAAGAATAAAATACTTAGGAATAAATTTACCAAAAGAAATGCCAAACTTATAAACACTGAAAACTACAAAACATTATTGGAAGAAATTAAAGAAGATCTAAATAATGGAAAAACATCCCATATTCTTGGATCAGAAGACCTAATATTGTTAAGATGGCAATACTCCCAAATTGATCACAAATTCAACACAATCCCTAGTGGTATCCTAGCTGGCTTCTTTGTAGAAATTGACAAGCTGATCCTAAAATTTATATGGAATAGCAATGGACCCTGAATAACCAAAAAAATCTTGAAAAAGAAGAACAAAGTTAGAGGACTCCCACTTTGCAGTTTGAAAACTTACTACAAAGCAATAATAAGACATATAGAGATCAGTCAAGTAGAACAGTCTAGAAATAAACCCATGTGTCTTTGGTCAACTGATTTTCAACAGGGGTACCAAGACCACTCAATGGGGAAAGAATAAGCTTTTTAACAAGTGGTGCTGGGACAGCTTGGATACCCACATGTAAAAGAATGAAGTTGGAGTCTTACCTCACACCATATACAAAAATTAACTCAAAATGGAACAAAGACATAAATGTAAGAACTAAGATTATAAAACTCCTAGAAGTATACATAAGGGTAAATCTCCATGACCTTGGATATAGCAATGGATTCTTAGATATGACACCAAAAGCACAAGCAACAAAAGGAAATACAGGTAAATTGAACTTAATCAAAATTAAAAACTTCCGTGAATCAAAGGACGCTTATTAAGAAAATGAAAAGACAACTCACAGAATGGGAGAAAAATATTTACAAATCATATAGAAACCAAAGCCAAACCAAACCCATTGCCATCGAGCTGATTCCAACTCATAGCGATGCTTTAGGACAGAATAGAACTGCCCCATAGGGTTTCCAAGGAATGGCTGGTGGATTCGAACTGTCGACCTTTTGGTTAGCAGCTGAGCTCTGAACCACTGCACCATCAGGGCACCAAAATCATATAGAAGGTCAACAGAAAAGAGGAAGACCCTCAATGAGATGGATTGACGCAGTGGCTGCAACAGTGGGCTCAGACATAGCAACGATTGTGAGGATGGCGCAGGAGCGGACAGTGTCGCTATGAGTCAGAACTGACTTGACAGCACCTAACAGCAACAACAACAGATCGTGTATCTGATAATAAACTTGTATCTAGAATATGTAAAGAATCTTACAACTCAATAATAAAAAGACAGGTAACCCAATTTAAAAATGGGCAAAATATCTGAATAGATATTTCTCCAAAGAAGATACACAAATGGCCAATAAGCACATGAAAAGATACTCAACATAATTAGTCATCAGGGAAATACAAATCAAAACCACAATGAGTTACCACTGTCACAAGCACTAGGATGGCTCTGATCAATATCAGATAATAAGTGCCAGTGAGGATGTGGAGAAATCGAAACCCCCACATACTGCTGATGGGAATGTAAAATGGTACGACTGCTTTGGAAAGCCATCTAGCAATACCTCAAAAGCGTAAACTTAGAGATACCATGTGACCTAGCAGTTCCACTCCTAGATATCAGCCCCAAACGAAAATACCTGTTCACATAAAAACTTAGACAGAAATGTTTACAGCAACTTTACTCATAGTAGTCAAAAGGTGGGAACAACCCAAATATCCAACGATGAATGGAGAAACCAATTTGGTATATCCATACAATGGGATACTATTTGGCCATAAAAAGGAACGAAGTACTGATACAGGCTCCAACATGGATGAACTTTGCAAACATCATGCTAAGTGAAAGAAACCAATCACGAAAGACCACATGCTGTATGATTCCATTTATATGTCGTTTCCAGAATAGGCAAATCTATCGACAGAAAAGGGGTCCTGCTGGTGCAGTGGTTAAGCATTCGGCTGCTAACTGAAAGATGGGTGGTTCGAATTCACCAGCCACTCTGTGGGGGAAAAATGTGGCAGTCTGCATCCGTGAAGATTTACAGCCTTGGAAACCCTGTGGGCAGTTCTACTCTGTCCTATAGGGTCGCCATGAGTCAGAATCAATTCAACGGCAATGAGTAAAGGGTATAGAGACAGAAAGTAGATTAGTGGTTGCTTAGGGCTGGAGGGGGGATGGGGATGGGGATAGGGGGTGGGGATGGGGAGGAATAGCTGAAGGCACCTGGTTTCTTTTGGGGATGATAAAAATGCTCTAAAATGGACTGTGGTGATGGTTGCATGTATCTCTGCATATACTAAAAACCATTGAATTGTACACTTTAAATGGATGAGTCGTATGGTCTGTGAATTATATCTCAGTAAAGCTGTTTTAAAAAACAAGCTACAGGAAAGAAGGTCTAGCTGGCATGGCGTGTGATGGGTGCCAGGATCAGCATGGGTGTGGCTGCAGGGCACTGCCGCGTAAACATGGTGAGCTGTGCGTGCACCAGTGCGAGAAGATGGTGCGGCTGTCACAGCCAGACGATTCCACGTTGCTGTTCATGGACTGAAAAGTGTACGTCTGTTGAACTGTGATCTACCCTACTTTAAATGGAATCTCTGTGCAGTCAGGGAGCCTACGAAGACGCTGGATTTACAAGTGCCTGCTGAATTTTTCATACTCCGCACTCTTTGAAGGAGAGAGGTCTGGAAGACCAGCCCTGCAGCTCAGGTTAAGATGATCAGACCATGCTGCTGTTGTGACTGCCGCTCAGTGCAGCTGTCACTGGGACGGAGATGCATGTGCTCTGTGACATTATGGGAAAGGCAAACCTACGCGGACAGCGAAAACTCAGTGGTTGCCAGAGGGAGGCAGGAGGGATGGACAGGTGGAGCACAGGCCAGGGAAACTGCATGACACTGTAATGGTGGACGCATGACAGCAACCCATAAGACAACACAAAGAGTGACCCTCATGTAAACCGCAAACTTCAGTTAATGATAATCCATCAGGAACGCACGATGTTGACCCAAGAGAAACTATGGAAAGTGGAGAAGGGAGGGGGGTATGTGGGAACTCTCTGTACTTTCTGCACACCTAACATGGTTCTAGGAGCCCTGGTGGCGCAGTGGTTAAGAGCTAGGCTGCTAACTAGAAGGTCGGCAGTTCGAATCCACCAGCCACTCCTTGGAAACCCTATGGGGCAGTTCTACTTTGTCCGGTAGGGTTGCTATGAGTTGGGATTGACGCGACGGCAATAGGTTAACACAGTTGTAAAAAATAAAGTCCATTTAAAAATGCATACACTGTGATTTTAAATGAAATCATGCCAGTATGTTTTTTAAATGGTACATTTTATAGGTATGCTCCGTAAAACTTCTTCAGATTATTTTTCATGGAGGAAATTGTATTTTCACACAGTGTTAAATAAAAATTTATTGTATTTCTGATTTACCAAAAGGAATATGTACCATTTGTAACCATATTTACCTGCTTTCTTGATTGCACAGGGAGAAGACACCCATTATCAGAAAAAAAAATTATGCACTATATGTACCAGTTATGTAAATCCCTCGAGCATATGCACAGGTACACTTGGAGATCGGGCAGCTCAGACGTTAATAAAACGTGTTAGCATTCATTTAAAAATACAGTGTAAAGGAATTTGAATCAATGAGGTACAATTAATTCTCTTCTTCCTTTTATATTGAATGCAGAAATGGAATATTTCACAGAGATGTAAAACCAGAAAATATATTAGTAAAGGTAAGAACTTCTATACGAAAAATTGATATCCAAATAAAAATAGAATAAAGAAAGCTTTCAGAGGAAATATAGTTTCGATTCCAGATAGCTGGATACCATGGTTGCTATAGTTTTGTTTTTTCCAGCTTGGAAAATGTTGCTTGTGCATTATCGTCTACTTAGCTGACTATACATCTGGAAGAAAATAATCTTAGGCACCTTCTCACAACTATATCCGAAATAAATACCACTCAAGTGATCATTCTAAACCCTCTAAATATAAAAGTGGTAGAGGCAGGATCTGAGCTCTGGTCTGTCCTACTCCAAAGCCACTTAAATTGCACATATTTAAAGCATAAAATGTGATGACTTTTGACATATGAACATACAAAACCATCATCACAATTAAGATAGTGAAGGTATTCCACACCCCCCAAAATTTCCCTCCTGCCTCTTTGTAATCCCTCTCTCCCCACCTCCTGTCCCCAGACAATGACTGACCTACATTCTGTGACATTGAATTAGTTTGCATTTTCTAAAATGTCATATAAACGGAATCATACAGTATGTATTCTTTTTCTGTCTGGCTTCTTTCACTCAGCGTAGTTATTTTGAGCTTCATCCACGATAGCATGTATAAATAGTTGATTCCTTTTCCTTGCTGAGTAGTCTTCCGTTATTCCTTCTGCTTCCTTTTCTGCCTTGTTTTGTATTGACTTTAAAAAAGTCATTCCATTTTACTTCCTTTGTTAGCTTATTAGCTATACCTCTTTGTTTTGTTATTTCAGTGGTTGGTTTTTTGTTTATAGTATACATCTTTGCCTCATATCTATCTTCAAATGACATCACACCACTTCTCACAAAGCGTGATAACTTCACGATAGTGTACTTCCCAGCCTTGGGGCCATTGTCATACCTTTTACTTTTACACAGGTTTTAAACCTCACAGTACATTGTTATTATTTTTGCTTAAGCAGCCAGTTAGTATCTTTTAAACAGATTTAAATAATAAGAAAAAAATCTTATATATTTACTCATGTGGGCAACGTTTCCAGTTCACTTCTTGTGTAGGTCCATGTTTCTATCTGGTCTCATTTTTTTTCTGCCTGAAGAAATTCCTTTAATTTTGTAGTACAGGTCTGCTGCTGATAAATTATTTTATACTATAGTACATTCTTTTATATACCTGAAAAAGTATTTTACCTTCATTTTTGAAAGATATTTTCACTAGGTATAGAATTCTAGGTTGACGGTTTTTCTTTCAAAATTTTAATGATATTTTTGATTGGATGCCAGACATGGTGAATTTTACCTTGTTGAGTGATGGATATTTTTGTATTCTTTTAAATCTTCAAAAGGAGCCCTGGTGGTGCAGTGGTTAAACGCTCGACTGCTAACTGAAAAGCCAGCAGTTCGAACCCACCAGCAGCTCCATGGAGAAAGACCTGGTGATCTGCTCCCATAAAGATTACAGCCTAGAAAACCCTACAGGAATTAACTCAATGGCATACAACAGCAACAAACAGAGAATCATCCCCGGCTTTTATAGCCTATTCTTGAAGGAGCCGTGGTGGCACAATGGTTAAGGTGCTCAGCTGCCAACCAAAAGGTCAGTGGTTCAAACCTACCAGCTACTCCGTGGGAGAAAGATGTGGCAATCTCCTTCTGTAAGGATTTACAGCTTTGGAAATACTATGGGGAAGTTCTGCTCTGTCCTGTGTGGTCACTGTGAGTTGGAATGGACTAGGCAGTAGTGAGTTGTTTTTTTTTATTGTTTGTTTACAGCCTATTCTTAGCACGTCTATTTCTATCCACTGGGTGTGGACTAATTGGAATCGTAATTAGGTATTTTAATAAGCTCTGTTCATTTATGGCCTTTATTTTGTTACCTTGAAATGTGAGGGGTGAAGTAAATAGAAGTACCTGAGACCTATTTCCCTGCACATGTCTGACTTGCTGTCAGGAGAGTCTCAGACCTGTGGGCTCTGCGCAGCACAGGTGCAGTGTGGCCACCTCCCCAAACCCGGAGCAGAGCTTCCAGCCAAGATGGACAGCGAAGAGGAGACTGAGCCATAAGAGAACGTGCTATCATTGTGTGTAATTCATTTGTAGAATCACACTACCACTGAAACATTTTCCAAACCTATAAAAAAAAAAAAAAACGTTGCCATCAAGTCGATTCTGACTCCTAGCAACCCTATAGGACAGAGTAGAACTGCCCCATAGGGTTTCCAAGGCTGTAATCTTTGTGGAAGCAGACTGTCACATTTTTCTCCCACGGAGCAGCTGGTAGGTCCAAACCATTGACCTTTCGGTTAACAGCTGAGTTAGGTTCCAAACCTATAGACATTTGGAAATATATGGAAAACACAGAGAGCCAGAATATTTGCAGACAAATTCCACTGAACAGAAACATCACTTACCCCTCTGTTAGAAGCTACTTCCAGGTGCTTATAAAAGCTAGTGATTTGTGTTGTATAAGCTGGTTGAGGGTTTTGTAAGTTCTCCTTTAGTGCATCGGGATCTGAGACTGTGGAAGACAGACAGCTGCTCAGGGAGATGATGCTGCCTCTGCCCCACCCCTGCAGCAGGACGTCCTGAAGCTGGGGGACTTTGGGTCCTGCCGGAGCGTCTACTCCAAGCAGCCGTACACGGAGTACATCTCCACACGCTGGTACCGGTCCCCTGAGTGTCTGCTCACTGACGGCTACTACAGTTATAAGATGGACGTGTGGAGTGCCGGCTGTGTGTTCTATGAGATCGCCAGGTAGGGCTGCTGGCCTCGCCCGGAGAACCCTGCAGTACAGGCAGAGTCCCGTCTGACCTCACAGGCTGAGTATGGGGGTGAACAGTGGGGTGACCCCACAGTGCAGGTGGAGCCCCACCTGACCCCATAGGCTGATATGAGGGTGAATGGTGGGGTGACCTCACAGTGCAGGTGGAACCCCGTCTGACCCCATAGGCTGAGTATGGGGGGTCAGATGGCAGGTTCAGCCAGGCTGTGGAGCTGTAGGCCAGCACGTTCCAGCACGCAGATTCTAAGCCATTCTGGTTTTTTACTGTTTTTAATTTAACAGAAAATTTCCTAGGCTTTCGTTTTACTTTTTGTCAAATACTTCTGCACGCTTGCTTTTCATGGACACTAGACCAACATTCCTTTGCCACCATCACACCGGCTTAAATGAAATGATTGATTACCGTGTGTTCAGGAACAGAGGTGGACTTGCCTGCCGCCACCTTCTGTGGCCTGTCCTGGGAGGTGTGAGCAGGGCAGCCCCCGTGGCACGCTCTCAGAGCACAGACAGATCAGGTCACCGTAGGGCACTGAGGCACCTGCTGGCACTGTGGCACTCTAGAAGGCTGCCATCCTGACATCCCTCCCTTGGGCCTCCACACCCCTGGCCTTTGGGCTTCATGGCTGGAAGGAGCAGTGGCCAGGGAAGAAGAGGCAAGAGTTTGTCCCACTCAGAGGGGGGTGGGACGTCATTAAAGAAGCTGAGGAGGGTGTGGGGTGGACATGGCCTTCGAGGAGGGCATCTGTGGTCTGACGTCTGGGTGATGCCCAGCAGGGAGCCCGGCCATCAGTACTCTTCCTCGCTGGCCGCTTCATCAGTACAGACAGATGGCGCCTCAGGGCGCGCCCTCTTCTGATTCCAGAGCACACGAATGATAACTGACTGTGTGTGATTTTTGGAAAGCTGAGTAGTAGTTTAATTGAAGTTAAAAGTTTCTCCTCTGCCAAAATTCCTTGAATTAATTTGGAACGCATTTTACAACACTTAAATGTTAAGAACTCAGTGGCTGCTGGCACCTCGTAGTATGGGATCTGAGCCCGAGAGGGCCAGGGGCCACACGTGCTGGGCTGTGCACCCTGCTCTTTCCCCCGCTCAGGGTGGCTTTTCTGGGCACCCACATTTTCCTTTCCTATCTTTTAGTCGTAAGACATTGGTGGTTTCCTGAACAGAAGCTAGTCTTAATACCAAAGCTGTATTTCTGGCATGTGACATGAACTAATTCATTTATACTGATCTAAAATCTTTTATTCACAATTCCAAAAGCCACACAAGCTCTGAAAACCAAAGGGCTTTCTTGGGACTCGTGTGCTGACAAGGCCTGACCCAAAGTTGTCAACACAGCTCACCTGGGCCGACTCCATGCCTGTAATCGTAGTTATTTACTGCAGTTAGTGTGTGTGTTCACACGTCACTGTGGAGACGCTGCTGTGCGCACAGACGGGGATGAGGACCTGAATCTTGCCTCTTGGCAGAAGACACCTAGGGCCTGTTGGCAACGTGGGAATAGAAAGGCTGAGCAAAAGGGAGGGGGCCCTGGGTAGTGCAAGCAGAAAGGTTGGAGGCTTGAGTCCACCCAGAAGGCGCTCCAGAAGAAAAGCCTGATGATCCACTTCCGAAAAATGAGCCATTGGAAACCCCTGCGCAGCAGTTCTACTCTGACACACGTGGGGTTGCCATGAGTCAGAGTCAGCGGCAGCTGTTTTTAAGCAAAAGAGAGAACGAGACTCTTAAAACCACGAGGATTAATACATTTGTCTGGATGTTTCCTGTGGGCCCCAGGCGTCCTGGTGGCTGGGGGAGACGTGCTGCTGGCAGAGTGCCCTCTGGGCTGCCCTCTGGGTGGGAACGCACGCTCTTCCTGGTGGGCTATGGGCACCGTGTGATTCCAGGGTATCTATGCGCTGGGTCCAGGTACAAGTAGTCCCCAACTTACGATGTATTCGAGTTATGATGAACCACGCTCAAGACTGTCTTTTTTTTTTTGGTACATCTGATTATTAGTAACATGTACTACATGTTGTTGTTAGGTGCCGTTGAGTCGGTTCCGACTCATAGGTACCCTGTGTACAACAGAACCAAACACTGCCCAGTCCTGTGCCAGCCTCACAATCGTTGCTTTGTTTGAGCCCATTGTTATAGCCACTGTGTCAGTCCATCTCATTGAGAGTCTTCCTCTTTTGCGCTGACCCTATAATGTCGCTATGAGTCAGAATCGACTCGGCGGCAACGGGTTTGGTTTTTGTTTTTGATACCTTACCAAGCATGACGTCCTTCTCCAGGGACGGGTTCCTCCTGCTAAACACGTCCAAAGTCTGTGAGATGATGTCTCGCCATCCTGGCTTCCAAGGAGCGTTCTGGCTGCACTTCTTCCAAGAGACCTGTTTGTTCTTCTGGTAGACTCAGCATTTGCCAACATCACAATTCAAAGGCGTCAATTCTTCTTCCGTCTTCCTTACTCACTGTCCAGCTTTTGCATGCATATGAGATGATTGAAAATACGATGGCTTGGGTCAGGCACACCGTAGTCCTCAAAGCGACATCTTTGCTTTTGAACACTTCAGTGTTTTGCAGATTTACTCAGTGCAGTACATTGTTTGATTTCTTGACTGCTGCTTCCATGGGCATTGATTGTGGATCCAAGTAAAATGAAATCCTTGACAACTTCAATATTTTCTGTTTGTCATGATGTTTCTTACTGGTCCAGTTGTGGGGACTTTTGTTTTCTCTGTGTTGAGGTGTAATCCATACATTTGATCTTCAGTAAATGCTTCAAGTCCTCTTCCCTTTCAGCAAGCAAGGTTGTGTCATCTGCGTATCACAGGTTGTTAATAAGTCTTAAACCAATTCTGATACCATGTTCTTCTTCATATAGTCAGCTTCTTGGATTATTTGCTCAGCATACAGATTGAGTAAGTATAGTGAAAGGATACAACCCTGACACACACCTTTCCTGATTTTAAGCCACGCAGTATCTTCTTTTTCTGTTTGAATGACTGCCTCTTCGTCTGTGTACAGGTTCCGCATGACCACAGTTAAGTGTCCCGGAATCCCCATTCTTCACAATGTTATCCATAATTTGTTATGATCCACACAGTCGAATGCATTTACATAGTCAATAAAACGCAGGTAAACATCTTTCTGGTATTCTCTACTTTTTGCCAAGATCCATCTGACATCAGCAGTGATATCCTTTGTTCCACATCCTCTTCTGAATCTGGCTTGAATTTCTGGCAGTTCCCTGTCGATGTACTGCTGCAATCGCTTTTGAATTATCTTTAGCAAAATTTTACTTGCATGTGGTATTAATGGTATTGTTCTATAATTTCCACATTCTGTTGGATCATCTTTCTTTGGAATGGGCACAGATATGGATCTCTTCCACTCAGTTAGCCAGGTAGCTGTCTTCCAAATTTCTTGGCATAGATGAGTGAGCAACTCCCGTACTGGATCCATTTGTTGAAACATCTCAATTGGTATTCTGTCATTTCATCTGTAAGTTTATATGTAATGTTTCCAACCCCAAAAGACAAATAAAGATCAGATTTATAAAGATACTGACAATAAAAGGCAATAATAGTGAAAACTAAAAAATAAAATGAGGTATTTGACTTACGTCATTTACAACAGAGTCGTTGGAACAGAACCCTGTTGTAAGTTGGGACTACCTGTATTATCTTAAAAGATGAGTAAGAAATACCCGTATAATAAAACGTCATAGGAGATGAAGCTTCAACTTACTTGTTGTAGTAGAATTTTGTTAGAGTGAATACACTACTTCAATTTTCTGCTCTGCAGGCCCTAGAGATAAAAGAGTGCTGATACTTAATCTCTTTCCAGCAAAGAGAACAGAGGGAGCTGTGCTCTGGTGTGTTTTGGTAGGTGGCTTTGGAGGCTGGATGAATGCTTTTGGCCATGTCCTGGTGTTTTCTGTGAATGGCTCTGGAGTTCTGTGACTGGCTGCCTGGGTCGAGAGACATGGACAGAGGTGTGGCTGTGAGTTGAGTGCAGACCTTCTAGCTTCTTGTCCCCATGCAGATGGCTCCCGAGAGTGCCATCTGCCATGAGTACCCACTGTGCTTGGGGCTGAGGAAGCCAAGCCCTGGGGAGGTGGGGGGAGTAGGCTCTGCACCCCAGTTCTGCCATTCCGTGTCCCCTGGCAGGGGGGGCCAAGAAAACATGAATGCAATGTTGTCTGGATAGGATAATTGATCTCAAACCAAAAAAACCAAACCCGTTGCTGACAAGTCGATTCTGAGCCCCTCAATTTATAACCCAAAAAGGAAGAAAATGGCACCTTCTTCAGGCTTCCTAATACCCAAACTCTCGAGTGGCCTAATCACAGTACTGTTTGCTGCTACAGAAAAGACTCCTTTAGAAATGACAACACCTCCAAGTGACAGCCACTGCTGGCATTGCAGAGGACAGTCCATGGAGGACTTGTGAGATGGTTCTCAACCACATTTCCGTAAGAAACACGTCAGCCGAGGCGGCAGGCGGGCCCTGGGGCTGTGTCCAGCTACAGCTGCGCTTCGCTTGGTTTGCGCACTGTTTCGTTGTTATGCTGTGCTTATTTTATTTCAGCCAACCACTGGAGTTAGGAGAACCCCAAAATCAAACCCGTTGCCGTCAAGTCAGTTCCGACTCAGAGACCCTAGAGGATAGAGTAGAACTGCCCCGTAGGGTTTCCAAGAAGCAGCTGGTGGATTCGAACTGTCGACCTTTTCATTAGCAGCCGAGCTCTCAACCACTGCGCCACCAGCGCTCTGGAGTTAGGAGAGTTCACATAAAAATCTCTATTTCTGCCTTCTCTCGAAAAGTGGAGGTGTCAGTGACGCCGTCCTGCATCTTCGCGTGGTGGCCAGTCAGCGAGGCCACAAGGGGGCCTACCTGCTTTTGGTGCTACAGCAGGTGCTCTGTGGTGTTCCTCTGCCACCACTGGAACCTGTGCCCTGTGCAGAGAGGCTCACCGTGTGTGCCACCCCACGTCCCCATCGGCCAGGAGCTGCCCCATGTCCCTGTCGGCCAGGGGCCGCCCCATGTTCCTGTCGGCCAGCACTAGAGCATGGGCACCTGCTCTGTGTGCAGCCCATGCTGGTGCTGGGGGGTGAGGGCACGTGGCCCTGGAGCACGGGCCTGCACATGTCTTCTCTGCAGAGGGCCCTCCCCAGTTGCCCTCAGACACCCTCATGACCCCAGGCTTGGGGAGGCGCTCTCATTTGCTGGCTACGTGCGGCCTGTCCCCCTGCTGGAATGCTAGCCATACGGGGAGTGGGGCAGAGGCCAGAGCGGGGGCCTGTGTGCTGTGTGTCAGCCCCACAATGGTGCCTGGCACGAGGACTGCTGGACTGAGTCAAATGGGGATGATGCTCTTTATTTCATCTGAACTGTGGCCTATGTGCCAGATGTCTGTTTCTGTAAATAAAGTTTTATTGGAACACAGCCAAGTCTGTTTACACATTTTCTTGGGCTGCTTTTGGAAACCCTGGTGGTATAGTGGTCAGGAGCTATAGCTGTTAATCAAAAGGTTGGCAGTTCAAATCCACCAGGCACTCCTTGGAGACTCTATGGGGCAGTTCTACTCTGTCCTATAGGGTCGCTACGAGTCAGAATCGACTTGAAGGCAATGGGTTTTTTAACAGAGGGTTACTTTTGTGTTGCAATAGCAGATCTGAGTAGTTGTGACAGAGGTGTATGGCCCATAAAGTTGAAAATACCTACTCTCTGGCCCTTAGTGAATAAAGTTTGCCAACCCCCGCTCTAGTCTAAGCTGCTTTGTTGCTGGTGCTTGATTGTACCAGAAGGTTCAGTGAGAGGTTTTAACAAAACTAGATCCTGACTGTCACCTGGCTGGCGGGCAGTGTGAGACACCATGGAGGGACTGTAAACGCAGGCTGGTTTCCGAGATGTTACAACGTAAAGAAACGTGTGGCTTCAGATCCTTGAGATGGGGGCTAGCACCTTAGGTGTCTGTTGTGAGGATTGTATCTGCTAATTCATGTCAGGTGTTTGCGGGGACGGTGATGTGCACGTGAGAGAACTCGGTAGATGACAGCTGCTGCAGTTGCTGCCTTTTTGAATTAACCGTCCGCTCATCTGACAGTCTGCAAGCTGCATTTCAGACACTTTTTGTGTTGCTCATATTGATCAAAAGGAGCCCTGGTGGCACAGTGGTTAAGCACTTAGCTGGTTGCTATGGGTTGGAATCGACAGCAGTGGGTTTGCTTTGCTTTTGGTTATGCAGGAAACCTGGGTTTGTTCCCGGCCAATGCACCTCATGTGGAGCTACCACCCATCTGTCGGTGGGGGCTCGCATGTTACTATGATGCTGAACAGGTTTCAGCAGAGCTTCCAGGCTAAGATGGACTAGGAAGAAAGGCCTGGTGATCTACTTCTGAAAATCAGCCGTGAAAGACCCTGTGGGTCACAATAATCTGATCCTGTTGTGCATGGGGTTGCCATGAGTCAGGGGCCTGCTCAACAACATCTAACAACAACAATATTGATTAAAAGTCCTGTGTTGATAAAAAGACACAGCTGTGTTGTGGGTTCAGAAAATCTTTCATCCCAAGAACTGTTTGATCCACCCAACAGTTCACGCATCGGCCACCTGCAGGGCGCAGGTATCTGCGATGGAGAGACTGAGTAGCCTGATGGCTCTAAAGGAGAGCTCGGTCCCCTCAGGCTTCGCCAAGGATTCAGGGCCACTTTTTAGGCGAGGCCGGAAGCAGAATGACTAAAGTCTAATAATAAACACTAGCTCTTCATTATTAAACTAGAGTGACAACTGGCCGCAGTATTCAGAAATGTTTAATTATTTTAAAATGCTTAATTGAGAGAGCAAGTCTCTGCAGCACAGTCGGTGGTTGGAGTCCTGAAGAGAAGACAGGTGTCCACGCCAGCCGGCCACGAGCACAGGCGCCACGGCCAACACTTGGGGCTGGCTGCGCTTTCTCTGCTTGGAAGGATTCGTGTGGAACCTGCCCACACCTGTCAGCATTGTGAACGTGGTTGTCATGAGATTTGGACACTGTCCTGGAGGTGTTGGCTGTGTGCTGGCCTCCCGACTGGGCAGCTGAGGGGACCAGATGAGGATGCATTTCAGAAGCTCTCAGGAGCATTCGGACAGACGCTGGGTGTGGAGACTGTCCTGCGCGGATTCAGAGGCCAGGGCGCCTGAGAGCTGCCCCGGGGGAGAGGCCCGGAGGGAGTGGCAAGAACAAGGCTTGTCCACAACATGGTGACTGTGGGGATGGAGAAAGGAGCCGGCCCAGGGGAATTCTGTTTTGTGTTTGGGGCTGAGGAACACGAGCAAAGCCGAGGTGGGGCGGCCGCTTCTCTGGGAGGGGTGAGAGGAGGATGGCAGACAGGGCTGAACTGGGGGAGTCACGGGGGGCACACCAGGGCTGGCCTCGGCAGAACTGTGCCGTTGGCACCGTCGGGCCTCCGTGTGCTCAGCCCGGGAGCAGTTCTCTCTGGCGGGTTCTGGCCCGCTCCCTCAGAGGGGGGCGGAGGAGTGGCTGGGCTGGACGGGCCGTCCCCTCAGCACACTGCTTCTCAAGGGGTGAGCCCCAGGGAGAGGGCGCACACAGTGCCCCAACTGCTCACCCACCATGGCCGCGGATGGCTTTGGGGCGGGGGGTGGGCAGTGTGGTGACCGCGAGACACCGAGAGCGCGTGGCTGCGGGCTGCTGAGAGGAAGCCCGAGGGCCGCGTGAGGGCTGTCTGGGGCCGAGGTCGGTGCCGGGGCCGAGGTGGCCCCCGGGGCCGAGGTGGGTGCTGGGGCTGAGGTGGATGCCGGGGCTGAGGTGGGCGCTGCAGCCTGGTCAGTGCCGGGGCAAAGGTGGGTGCTGGGGCCGAGGTGGATGCCGGGGCTGAGGGGAGTCGCTGCAGCCTGGTCGGTGCCAGGGCGAAGGTGGGCGCTGCAGCTTGGTCGGTGCTGGGGCCGAGGTGGATGCCGGGGCTGAGGTGGGCGCTGCAGCCTGGTCGGGGCTAAGCCGTGAGGGCCCACGGCCGTGAGTGGGCAGCCCCACGGGGCAGGTTGGAGAGGCTCGCGGCCCTGCCCACCGTGTGCCCTGTCCTTACCCTCCAGTCTGGAGCCTCTCTTTCCTGGAGCCAACGAACTGGACCAAATCTCCAAGATCCATGATATCATCGGCACGCCTGCTCAGAAGACGCTTACCAAGTTCAAACAGTAAGTGTGGAGCCGACCTGGGCCCCCTCGGCCTCCCCAGGACCCGGCTGCTCCTGGCCGGCACCCCGGGGATCCCAGATGCAGGCTCTTCTGGAGCTCCGTGGGGTCTCAGGCTCTGCAGGGCCGGTTCACTGTTGTCCCTGGAGAGTTACACAGTCCCCAGCAGCCCCACGGGGATGGGCTGTCGTGCAGCTGGCCCAGCCGCGCTGGCCGCCCCGAGGCCGCCGCAGACTCGGGGGCTGGAGTCTGACCCAAGGTGAAGCTAAGGCCGGGGCTGAGGGGCTTCTGAGCCCACAGGCCAGGCCCAGGGGTCGGCCGCCATGGCCACCTCCTAATTCTGGGAGGGTAGGGGAGGGGGACTGTTTTGGAGTCTTTTTTTGTTTTTTTTTTTTTTTTAAACTATTTCACTCTTTTCACGTGGAAATGTGACAGTAGTCTTTCCTAGGACAGGTCGTTTTCTCACCTTTGTAGCGCAACAGATCTCAGCCTCCCCCCACAGACATACGCTGTCCCCTCCGCCAGGGCCCCTTTAGAGACGTGGGAAGGACCGCCAAGTGCTCTAAATAATGGCGTGATTGTTTATTATCATTGGGCTTTTAATACAGGTCGAGAGCTATGAGTTTTGATTTTCCTTTTAAAAAGGGATCAGGGATCTCTCTACTGACAACCAATCTGTCCCCGCAATGCCACTCCCTCCTGTGCGCGATGGTGGCCTATGACCCTGATGAGAGGATCACTGCCCACCAGGCGCTGCAGCACCCCTACTTCCAGGAGCAGAGGTAGACGTGCCCGCGATGGGGACGGGCCGTGGGTGCACGTGGCCAGCTGTGCATCCTGCACCTCGCTGCGCTCAGGCCGTCTCTCCACATGTGCTCCGTGCGGGGTGGGCAGAGAGGGCTCCGGGGTGCGACCAAGGCCTAGGCCCCAGTGGCTGAGACGAGAGGGGAGGGGAGAGGGCAGCCCCCCTGGACGGGCCACGTCAGCCCACCATGATGTGGACGTGAGAGGCGCTGCCCTGAGGCTGTCCAGTCCCACCGCGGCAGTTCATGGGGGAAGAGGAGGCAACAAGACACTGCACGTGGGGACGGTGGGGACCGGGTGGCAGCAGCGTGGCCCTGGGTCTCAGGGAGACTTTCCCTCCCGCCTAGGGCAGCCGAGAAGCAGGCTCTGGCCAGCTACAGACACACTCTCCTCCCAGAGCACCCCACAGCCCCGGGGCCTGCCCGCAACAACTGGCACGTGGCCAAGGAGGGCCGGAAGCAGGTACCGAGTCTTGGAACTGGACCAGCCTGGCTCAGTGGGCCAACACTCGCAGGCCAGTGTCTCTGAGGAAGGCCCCCTCACCCCTGTGATCCTGGGCACAAGCCATTAGAACACCAGGGCCCAGGCTCTGTGGCTCAGCCCTGTCAGCCCCATGAGCTGAGGACTGACAACAAGCAGCCCCTGTGAGCAGGCCCAGAAGAGGGGCGCGGGCCCCTCAGTGTAGGAGGAGCCCCTTGTGAGTCTCTGTGTCTCCTCCAGTGGTGACCATGCACAGCGACAGGGAGGGTTGGGGATACCTCAAGTGCATGGCAGACGCCTTCTCGGCCCCTGGCCAACCCTTGCTGCCTGCATGACCCAGCTAGCGGCGGCATGTCACCAAGTCCCAGGCTTCGAGGGCCAGATGGTCTCTATCACAATAACTCAACTGTTGCTGTAGCACAAAAGCAGTTGTAGACAATACATAAACGAATGGGGGCTGTGTGCCAATAAAACTTTATTTGTGAACACTGAAATGTGAATTTCACATCATTTTCACGTCACAAAATATTTTTTTCAACCTTTAAAAAAATGTAACAGCCATTCTCAGCTCACCAGACATACAAAATTAGGCAGTGGGTAGACCTGGCCACATTGAGTTAGAGCAGGAGGTGGCTGGGGCCCCCGAGCCTCACCTAATTCCAGCCCCCGGGACAGGGCGGCTGCCCCAGGGGAGGGCTCAGCACCAGCACGGGATGGACTCCGAGGGCAGAATACACGTGTTCATGGCCCATCTCCGGGGGCTGTCGCCGTGGGCTCTGGCAAACAGTCCCCTTGCTGTGGGCATTCTGGATGTTTGAGTGTGGTCCGGTCACTTCACGGTCACATCTCCTGTTCTAACATTTTAACCGCAGACATAGTGCCTGAGCCTCTGTTGTTTTTCCTGGTTTCCGTGCAGGGGAAGCCGCTGTGTAGTCAACTGACCTTTGTTTTGTTTTAAGAAACAGTCCCTCAGGCAGGAGGAGGAGCATCCCCAGAGGCGAGGTCCGGCCTACCTCACAGAGCTGCCCAGACTCAGACTTCCGGGTGTCACGAAGCTGTCCTCCTACTCCAGCCCGTCGCTGTACTCCGTCTTTGCATCCGGGCCCCACGGGAAGGTGCTGCAGCCCCTCAAGCATGGCGGTGCCAACAAGAAGGTACCACTGCTCAGCTGCTCACCGGCTCTCTAGGCTCTGGGCCTGCCCTCGGCCTCGGCTGAGCGTCTGTAATTTCTCTCTGACAGACAGAGACACAGAAGGACATGAAGCCTAACCTGAAGCAGTACCGTTTGCCCACGATAGAGAGGCGAGGGGGAAGATGCTGAGCGCGCACCCTCCCCCTTCTCGGAGAGCCAAGGAAACTGTGCCACGTCGGGCAGAGACCCCTTGGCTCTGCTTCCGAGAGATGTCGGCAGAGGCTGGGCCTCCTCCCCGCCAGCCTGGAGCCCCAACAGAGGGCCTTGCCTCTGCGGCAGCAGACCCGTCGGCTGGCCAGCCTGGAGCGAGCCTGTGCCGTGTCCTGCATCCCGAGAGCAGTGCCCAGCGTCTCCCAGCCTAATACATGTCTGAAACCAACCATTCTAGGGCTGTGCTTGTAACTTTTATATGAATGGAAACATAAGCCGGAATGCATAGGCTCGGTTTAAACGTGGCTCTGGGTCACGCCTTCAGCAGGTTCCCGGTAGTATTGTAGTGAGTTCAAAGCGCTTTCTCTCAGGTCTGCAGATGAGGCTACTGGAGACGCCTGATTTTTATTAAAGCCTAAGCTCTCATGACAGTAGTTATTTTGTTGTTTTCTGAGTTGGACATGTGTCCTTGCTACCCATGCCTTCCTTTCAGGCTTTTGCTAGTGTGTTAGGGTAACTGACGGTGTTGTTGGGAAGCCTCTGGTGCAGCTTAGATTTGTTTCATCTGCAAGCTCGTTAAAGGAATAAACACAGGCTTTTCCTTGGAGTCCTCTTTGCTCCGCAGTTGGCTGGTGAGATGGACAAGGTGGGTGCCCCGTGGTGGCCCCTGGCCCCTGCCCCTCCCTCGTGAGTATGGAGCTGTTTCCTGACTCACTGTGGGCAGCCGGAGCTTTGTGTCTCGAGTGCCAGCGGTCGGCTGGGCACCTCATGCCCTACGAAAACCCGTTTCCCGTGAGGGTGGGGCGGGCGAGAGCGAGGGGCGGCCAGGCTGTGGGGGCGGAAACAGGCCCTGTCACAGCCCTTTCTGATTAGGAGGTAACGTAATGAGTGCTCCTTTTCAGCTTCTCAAACCTCAAACTTGTTTTTTTAAAGCAAATTTTCTCAGGTTAGCTTTTAGTCTCCCTGTTCTCTCCTTGAGACAAACCTGTGGCTGATGCCCTTGCCTTTGTCTCCAGAGGCCCGACCCGCGGCCCCAGCTGACAGGTGGCTGAAGCACCAGGAGTGACGGGACAGCTGGGCTTTGGGAAGACAGAGCGGCAGGCGCAGGGGCCAGGTGGGGAAGAGGAAGGCGGGGCGTGGGGCTGGAGAGCAGAGCCGGGGTGTGAGTGTCGCCTGGGCGACGGGGGGCCAAGGAGCTCAAGACAGACCAGGTCCAAACTGAAAATGAGGGGCTATGGTGACACTCAGAGCCAGTGCTCGTGGGCAGGGCGTGGGTAAATGTCCTTTTAAACCCATCTGAGACCACGGTGGGCCTCCAGGGGTGCCCTGCTGGGGTGAGGTTGGGGGGGGCGGCACTGGAACTTGGGGTCCCCGCAGAGCAGAGTCTGTTTCACTGGACAGGGTGGGGCCAGAAAGAGGTGGCGCTTCAGGGCAGAGACCTGCAGGAAGGGCCAGGGGAGCCAGATGGCCATGGGCCAGGCACACATGCATGGCCAGAGATGCTGATGGGGCAGGGGCACCTGGAGCTGGCTGTCCCTGAGGGCTGGCTGTCCTCAGGTGAAGGCACACTGAAGCACTGACAGGGATTGGTGCATTTAGGGAAATGGTTATTCCCTTTAAGTACATAAAATATGAAGGGAAAATCTTTAAAATTATTTTTGAGAATGCAGATTCAGTCTGTGATGCTGGTTCCCAGAAAACCAACTGTCCTTGCTCTCCGACGGTCATCTCCCCATGAGGGGTGGCCCCCAGGGCTTCCTGCCTGCCCCCGACCTTGGGACGTGACCCGCCCACCAGACAAAGCCCTGTGGTTTCATGTTGGTGTCTGGCAGAAACACGCTACAGCACAGCGTCCCAGGCCACCGGCCAGGCCGCCTTGACCCCAGACTGGGCGTGGCCCCCAGACTGGCCGGCCCGGTCTCAGGTCTGGCTCACCTGGCCCTCCCCTGGGCTGGTTCTGGACCTCGCGGCAGGAGGAAGGTGGTGTCGGCACACCTCGGGCTCAAATCCGGGAGCAGGCGAGTCCACAGACACCACACCCTGCGCACCCGTGGACCCCGAGAGGAAATGTTGCGGGTTCTCTGGGCTGTGGGGCAGGCACCGGGGACAGGCGGGGGCTCCACGTGGCAGGGAGCTGGTGGGGGGAGGGCCTCTGCCCATCCAGAAAAGGGTGGCGGGGGCTGCAGCCCCCCAGGGCAATGTGACTGCATGGTGCCTGACCCCTGGTTTGTCCCCAGAGCCCGGGAAGGGCCACGAGGCTGTGGTAGACTCCACCGCTGCCTGTGGGGCCTGTACTCACCGCTTCTGAGAAGAGGAGCGTGGGCAGAACCACACGCGCCTGCGGACTCCCAGCCGACCGTACAAATGGACGGAGGACATGGCTGTAAGGAGAAGACGCGGGAGGATTACTAGGTGAAGAATTCTAGACTTGGTTTTCAAAGGCAATGCTTTCCGATTCTTTTCAGACCTAGGTGTGGCTTCCTGGTCACTCATCCGGGACCCCAACCCACGTGGGTCCTGCCTGCTGAGTAACTGGCAGCAGCAAATCCCACACTGTAAGCTAACAGAAATACCAATAGCAAACTGGCTAAGATCTGAAGATGATAGCATGTTTCAGTATTTTCTGTTATTCACCGTTCCTGGGACCCAGAAAGCCCACAGTGGGCCACTCTCCCAGCCTGGGCGACAGCTGGAGGCCCCCCTGCTGTAACTGTCACCTCTCCTCAGGTGAATGAGGCCAGGACCTGGGCTGACATGAATCTTCTGAACCGTATCATCGTCCTACTGCTATAGTCACGTAAATGATGACAATGTGGGCATACCCTCGAAAGGTAATGAAGGAACTCATCTTTTCTAGCCTAAAATTACTTAGACGGGCTCCAAATTTCATGTGATCACTTAGAGAAATGTGTTTAGAGTCTTACCAGGTAAAAGTGTCCTCCAGTGGTCCAGCTGTTATAAACGAGAAGTGTCTTCCTGCTTGGCGGCTGCACTTTCTGTTGTGAGTCTGGTACCTGGCAGGCTGCAAGTAGGTGTGGGCTTGGCTGAAGCTCGAGTCTAGTACCTGGCAGGCTGCAGGTAGGCGTGGGCCTGGCCGAAGCTCGAGGCTGTCAAGAGCTGGTTCCCACCAAATAGAACGCCATGTGATGCTTTGCAAGCTATTTCGAGTCACCGCATAGTGAGTGAAGCACTTGCATACCTACCTCAGTGACCCTGCTACGTGAGGTCACAGGCTTTCGGTGACGAGAGGTGACCCCTCCTTAGCTTCGAGGAAACGAGGGTGCCCTGAAGCCGCAGCCTGCGCCACACTCAAAACTGCCCACAACAGCACAGACACGGTGCGCGAAGGGGCACAAGAACAGAACTCCAGGTGAGGCATGTTCTTGAACATTCCGTCTTTAATCTGTGATTGACAGAGGGCTCCGAGGAATGTGGTGATGAAATAATTCCAAACATTTCATTCAACAAAAAATTACATTAAAACGCAAGCCAGTTAACATGATAAACGTGGTATAGTCAAGAGTTTTAATATTAATTTTTTTCATGAATTAGAAATACCACTCGTAAGTGATGGAAATTACTAGTGAAGGAACCATTTCCCCCAATCGCAGAATTACATTATTTATACATATAATACAGAGTTGACTGCACTGAAAACAATAGTATTAAAATAAATGTTAGCAGATAAAAAGGGTGTCTTCAGCCTACTCCTTGGTGGAGCCAGAAGTGGACGACACCCATATTCAAAGTAATTTTCTGTCAGCATTAAACTATTTTAAGTGCAAACAATTTTTAAAGATCTATGATTACAGCATCTGTCTTCCTGAATGATATATTTAAATCAGAAAGTAACAACTTTCTTTATGAGTGCATTTCAGGTTGTCTTCCAAATTCCTAAGGTATAAAAAAATGAGTGCAAAAACAACAAGTGAAGGACTGTTTATAACAGGACAGTAAGGGGGGATTTCTTGTCCAGGAAACATATTCTGTTTTACACTATGTATATACATATATTACATATATATGCATGAAATTTAATTACATTGACTTTTGGAGTAAAAAGCAAGAAAACGCCATGTCTTACTTTTTACTGTAGCCCCAAAAGAGTGATTTAAACACAGAAATGACATCTTTGGGTGAGCAGCTGAGCGCTCTGCCCACGGCCGCCCCACGACTCCAGGTGCACGCGGGGCTCCGGGTCCGAGTGGGGCTTTGGAGCCCCGAGGGGCGCCGGGGTCTGTCCTGGGCTCCGGGTCCATCCTGGGCTCCGGGTCCGTCCTGGGCTCCAGGTCCAGGGCCCCAAGGGGCTCCGTGTCCATCCTGGGCTCCGGGTCCGCACAGGGCTCCAGGGCCCCGGGGGGCTCCGGCTGCACGTCCTGGGCCTTGGCTGGAGAGCAGCTCTGGCTCTGTCCGCCTCCCGCGGTGCCAGCGAGTTCGCAGTAGCAGTGGGGCCACTACTCTACAGTCCCACCTGGAGAACTGGCCTGGTTTTGGGATGACAACAAACCCTGCAAACAAAGCAGTTTACATTAATCCAGCAGAACACTTCACGTGGGAGAAAGCCACATCGCTCATCCTTTTCCAGCAGTTTCTCAGGATCAAAATTGGGGCTGTTTTGTTCTGGAAGCCAGTGTTTTAACAAATCCTGGCTCTTGTCTACTTGATTCCTATCCAGATCATTCCATTCCTAGCTAATTGGAATCCACTGAACTCAGCCTCCTGCTTGGGTGTGGGGCCTTGGGTCTCCCCACTGTCCAACGGGATCTTGGGGCCTTGGGGGGCTGTGTCCCTGAGCATCAGCACCCTGGGTGCAGCCCTGGGCCGAGGGGTGCATGGGCAACCTTAGCAATGCGGCTGTGGACGCACAGCGGCCCCAGAGCCAAGGGTCAGCCTTTAAAGACAGTGCTTTGTAAAGGTGCTTCCTTCCTGGGGGTTCTCACCTCCTCCTGTTGGGGATGTGGCAGTAGCACCCATCTAGC